CTTTTGGTGTACCTACCTCTACTGTCTACTGTCATCCACATTTTTGTGCACATACTGTCTTCTTTTACCTTTGGGTACACATAGCGTCCATATGGTCCACCATTACTCCGCCTCTCTCAACCACCCGCGGTACGGAGGCACAGAAATACGCCCCCTCTCCCCCCACGACGACAGCGCACGTGGTTTTAGGCCGTTCACCTCTTACTCTATAATTACGCCGCGTTCTCTCTCTTCTCTTAACTAAAGCTCACTTTTGTAAAAATGTTTATTTTATTATGTCTAATATTAATGTTTGCTATTTTTTTAATAATATCTTATAATCTGACAAAATATGTTTAATTCCTTTATCCATTCATTCTATTTATTAGTCAGAAATCTATTTTATACAGTAGGAAAAATCTAATAAAAGCCTTCATAAGATATAATATCAAAAATATATTACTCTCATTAAAGTACTAAAACAAATAATTTATAAACAAAAGAAAACTATGCACTCACTTCATATCTCTTATTTATTAATTGATGTGGAATGTTTGTTGTTTCTTATTTGTAAATCCGTAAAATCTTCGTAAATAAACTGAATTATTCCGGAGTTGAAGTTTTTGTCATTTTGGGAGTATGTTTTTCGTCTGTTTGTGTTTGTACCGTTTCAGTGATTTATTGTCATAGTTTCCTATTATTTGGATCATGGGGTTATCAGATACTGTCGTAAGCTCAAAAAATCTTTGCGTTTTAAAATTATTGTTGAAAGCTGCAATTCTTTAAACACTTTCAGTGTTCCGTAGTTAGACTCATAAGTATAACTCCATAAGGGGGGCAAAATAAGTTATTGTAAGCAGGATTAATTCTTTATATAAAATCAGTTTATTTTTAAAAATTAATTTATTGAAATATGGGTACATTTTACTAATCATGTCTTTTGCTTTATTGTACTTGTCATTTACATATTGGGTGAAATTTTATGACTTATTTCTAGAACTAAATATTTCATTGAGTTGGACTATGGGATTAATTATATTGGAAGAGAAGAAGAGAAGGTAGCTGTTGTAAAAGTAGGTAATCTTAATAAAATAATTAATTGAGGGGGATAAGATGGTGGTTGAGCGTGATCCCTCACCCGTGGGCCTTGAAAGAGTACCTTCTTACAAAGTACTGAATCCAAGATACTTCATGGGTAATGTTGCCCAAATGCGAAACCGAGAAGAATCTTGGTCTTGGAAACTTAGTCTTGGTCTTGCGCAAGAGTCTCGCAACCGTCTTATTATATTACTCTATTTTTTTAGATAGCGGAACCTAACGAAGTCCGATTGGAAAAATTAGAAGTGTTAAATGCAAAATTATATTGGTTATACCAATTCTTTACATGTAGTATCTAAAATTGTCTAGCATTAGTAACTATTTTGCCTTGATTTTTATTTTTAAAAAACAATTTTTTTACCAGTCTTGGTCTTCCTCTTGCAACAGTCAGACGTTCTTAGTCTTGGTCTTTCAAAGTGCAAGACCAAGGCGGATTTTGGGCAACACTATTCATGGGTTGTAGTGGTACAGATTTATTTTTTAGAAATTATACTTTTATTGGTTTTGTATTTTATATTGAAACATATATTGTATATGTGGCAGTTAAACAACTAAACCATTTTATAAAAGTTTTAAATTAAACAGGAATATGGCTTATAAAAAAAGGATGATGGTATGTTAATAACAAGAATAAATGTACTGCTGGCATATAATATAAGGTAAAGTAACCTCAATGGTAACCTCCGACCAAGGAGGAAGTAAAATATAATTACTCTTCTTAATTTTGTTGACATTTCTCGAAATTCAATTCAAGGTTGTCGAACCGGCCGTGATGGCTGAGAGCGTTAAAGAATTTTCCGCATTGACATTCTCGAGTCTAGCTGGTTCGAATCCGTCCAAGACAGTATGAAATTAAAAAAAAAAAGTAATTGGGCGCCAAATATCATAATGAGTATTAATTAGTAATTTGAGCCCTATAGAGGTTGCTGTTGCCTTCGATTGCTCCCAGTTGAGTGTATCCTTCGTTATCTATTATTATTATTGTTATTGCTGCCGGTAGATGATAAGACGATCCGTTGGGAGCGGACGGAGGTCCCGCTAGAGGGGGTGACTGAACTGGCGGGAGCAATGAACAGAGCGAGTTCCTTCCTCCGCGTCGGCTCTGTCCGTTAGCGATCTGCGTTCTGTATCGGTGATCTGGTGCTAATGTAATGGATGGATGGTTCAAGCATAGCTTGTAGTATTGGTATTGGTACTCGAGAGGAACATATGGTATTAATGTAAATGGATGGTGTGCGCGCGTATAGCTCATAGTACAGGAAGGTCTTGATGAATCGAACCCCTAGTAACCCGAAGAAGGAAGAAGAAGTTAAAGTTGACTGGCTCTGATGGTGGATCTTTGCAAATGGGGTATTTGGCAAAAAAATTATTATTTTACTTATTTTGTTTTTCTGTACAGTCAAGTAGTTTATTATTCATGAAAAATCTAATAAATTCTGAAAGCATATTTTGCACCAGTAATAGACACTTAGATTTTTGTGGTCAACAGGTTTTTTTATATAATCATAAAAAAATAATCTGATGCGGTGCGCGCATCATACATCTTTTACTTACCATCCTCTTCTTAACAGAAATAAGTATTTTATCAGAAAGAGGAAGTGAAAGTAAAAATTATAAATATCCTTATATATACAAATTTTAATATTTATATAGCTGTAATCTATACAATTAAATATTAAATAATAGCAACAACAGCTTTTTAAAACCGCATATGCTCTCGTATTCCTTTGGTTCCCCTATTGCAACTAATCTCCGTTATCCAACTATTCTCCAAATATCTACTTTCCAATTGGCTGTTGTGGCATATCACTTAAAGTTCAGACATCATCCTTCTAAGTGTTTTAACTGCATATTTACTCATATTTGCAAAGCCTTTTGTATGTGAAAGCTTAAAATCTGTTAATGAGTTGAAAATTGCCTGGAATTTCTTCATGTGGTAATATCGAAATCGTATCGTGGTGTCTCTAAACGGAAAACATTAGAAGTAGGCGGTCATCCAGATGTTGAGGAATCTCTATATGTGGTTTTATTTCCATATTTTTTTTTTTTTAAGATAGTTGACAAAGCAGATTTTAATGCCAGTGAGGTTAGCTTGATAATTTCAAAAGCATGATTGAATACTTTTTTATTTATTTCTTTTATTGCACTGGAAAATTTCTTTACACCAATTTTATTTTTCATTATATGAGACTTTCAGATCATAGAAAAATGCAACTCAATGGGTACATTTAGATATTTTATTGACAAGACAAGCCATTGTCAAGAAATATAGTTTCCCTTATATAGATATCCCCAATATAGATTCCCTTCGAAACGGAAGAGTTGTAGAGTTAATTATTTCAATGAAAAATCTGGTATGTCGAATCGCATGACATTCCTACTGATTAAATAAAATAATAATAATAAAATACAATTTTAAATAGGTATGTTCATTAAAAATAACACAACAGAATGGGGAATCCTAACTAAATCACAAACGAAAAATTTGAAGATTCAAATGCAAAATTATATTGGTTCTAACATTTGTTTATATATTGTAACTAATTGTCTATTATTAGTAATTATTTTATATTTTATTCGCAAAACTTTTTTTTTTAATCAGTCTTGGTCTTGCAACAATTAATCGGTCTTGGTCTTGCACTTTTGGGCAACACCACTAAAGTTGTGTTTAGACAATTCATAAACTATGGGAAATACAATTCTCTAACTTAATTTAAATTAGCGCTAAGACCATTTTTTTTTTTCATTTTTCTCACTACCGGCAACAGATTGAAAAATTGAAAACAATACACTAGCTTAGGGAAAAAAAACCCTGTAAAAGTAGTATGTTCGAAAACCATGGTCAACGATCGCTGATTTTTACCAAATTTATCAAAAGTTACTACAAATGGCACTGGAACTTGGAAATGAGTTTTGTAAGAGAAAAAACACATAAAATAGGTGATAAAGTTATTTGGCAATAAATACTTCCATTAGGCAACAATTGAAATATTTCTTATATTATCAACGTTACATGTTAACAAGTTGACGTTTCGGGATATTTACTCCCATCTTCAGAACTACAATCCTAATAATCTTGTGGGTGCAAGGCTTAAAAATAATAATAATGTGCTCCGTCGTCTAATTTCTAATTCATGTTATAAAATATATCATCTAGAGCAACATCTTGCTTAGACCAATAATTGGGTGTCTGCAAAATGGAAGTAATTATTGCCAAATAACTAAGAATATTAGTCAACTTCCCCCTCCCCCCCCCCAAAAAAAAAGAAGATGTAAAGTTTTTATTTTTGCCGACTTTGAATACCTTCAGTGCTCGAAACGCGCTGTGATGATGACGCACATGTTTGGGTTGAAACGTCGACACTGATAAAATCTTTATGACTGCGTCCTGAATATTTATCACCCATGATATGAAGAACAGTCGAATAACTTCCTCCAATAATACATAGAGTAAAAGTTGTAGAGCATCGAATTTCGCGTCCACTGAATACGAACTGTTTTAATGTAGGTCACTTACTCCGATCGAAATTGGTAACCTCTCGATGGTTGGAAATAGATAATGAAGGTATGTTTGATTTTCATTATTTCAATATTATGGGTTTCTATTCAACTGATTTATTCTTGATAAGAGTCTAGTGTATATAGTATAGGAATGTTCCCTACCTCTTAGGAACGGAGGGTTTTGAGAAACGAGGTGTCAAAAGAAACCGCTTCGGTTCGGGAGATATATTTTTGATACTTAGTGGACGAGGAAATCGATTTATTTGTTGTTTTTAATTAATTCATTCATAAATACGGTTTATTATAAATTAGGATAATTTGTAACTCTCATGTATTGTTAGACAAATATAAAAAAATATCTTATATTTCTTAATTTTTTTTTTTTTTTAATTTTGGTAAATTTTGTTTCTTTGCAAAAACAGATTTGGCCAGGGCGGACCGCGAGCCAGCATTGGGAGCAGGAACAACACGCACCGCTCCTCGTCCAAACCCGCCAATAGCAGTTGCCCGTAATTATCAAAACAATATATAAATCATACTAGTTAATAATACCGTCCAGCCTATTGAATACATTATATTATATTTGTAAATAGTACATATATATATTTTTTATATTAGGTAATATTACTCATTACCATTAGGCCGTTTCTCTGTGAAATGTACTAATTTATTGTGACCCTTTCAATTGATAGGTTTCACTTTGGTATTACTATACAAGTGTCACTCCACTTTGATTGTTAGTACAAGATCTCAAGATCATACCATTCCCGAGAATGACCGAAAGTAGACGGTAGTGACCGAACCGTCTGGTAATGTCCCGATCTCAACTGAAAATGACCTGCTTTGAGTATGTTGATTTTGAGCGAACGGGATTCGAAATTCTCAATGTGATTAAAGCTGATTGAGTATAGGCGCAAACTTTCGATTTTGATTGGTTAGGGCTATAGACAAAAAAAAAAAAAAAAAGTGGTAGGTGTTTTTATTATATATAAAAATTCTAAAACTTTATTATTGAAATGAAAAATAATTTTATTCTGATGCTGAAGTCCCCTTAGAATATTAGCAGAGTTCATAAAATATATAAATCAGTCTGGCATGTAGATATAGTACAAAAAATACTAAGGAATATACAAATATATACAGGAAATACTGAGAGAAAAAAAAATTAAAAATAAAATGGCTCTTATTAATTAACTGCTAGTGAGCAACGTAATTACATAACCTAAAAATTCTTTCAAGTAAATGAAAGTTTGAATTTGTTTGTAGTAGGTGGTGGAATAGTTGTTTGAAATAATTTATGGATATGATTTGACGCATAAAGATAGGTAAGAAGTGCGATTAGGAGGTAGCTCGAATGACGAAGAATTTGCTGAAGGAAGTGGTTTTATGAGAGGGGGTATATATGTCTATAGGTCTATATATATGTCTGGTATTAAGAAAATGGATAGAGGAACGTAGGATGTAGGTATGATTTTTGGTTCTGAGGACTTAGAAAAGGAAAACATCAAAAAGGAACTGCCAATTATTGTGAAACGAACAAATATAATGTTGAATATTTAAATTGAATTTGTTTAAATGGTTTTATAGTTGTAAGGATTTTTTTTTTTTACTTATTATATATACTTGAATGAAAATACAATTTAATAAATATAACGTATTTGTTTAAAGTAGAAGAGGGTGGAGAAAAGACAGCCTTCATAACATTGACACATTTCTAAAACTTATTTAGAAAAAAATGAATGCTGTAAAACAATGAAAAAATGTTTGATTTCTTAGTGTGTATAACTTCAAATAAAAATACTACGTTTTTCTTAGTCCGACTAGTTTGTCGCGGAATATGTGATAAGAATATATTGTGAAAATTGAGGGATGATTGAATCATAAAATCCTAGGATATGTTGATATATATTATTATCTTTGAATATAAATACATACCTACTACATAATACATACCTACTACTACGGCCTAGCCTAGTCAGGTAGTCGATTTTTCGTAATCGATTTTAGTTTACCTATTTATTCATGCATGTGTCTTATTCATTATTAATTTTAATTTTTTTACCTCGACATTTTTATTATTTGCCCTTTACTTTTTTGTAGTAATGTTCTGTATGTTATACTTACTGTTTTGGACTCCCCAATGTTTGACTTGTAATTACTGTAATTAATGTTTTGAAGTAATGCTCAATATTTATTTTTTTTAGACTGGGTTGATGTGAGCCGTGCTCTCTATGATATAAATTAGTGTTATCACATGTTTTTGGTTCCTCATGATAAGTGAGTTGTCGAAATGTTTACTAGCTAGGTATCTTGGTTAGATAGTTACTGCTGTTTGGAGAGCTTAAGGCTTGTTGTATAAGTATTTTGAAATCCTCCGTATACAGTATGTCTCGGTTCTTAAGCACAAACTCTGGAGAGGGTGATTATAAACCAAATTTCAGACAAAAATGTACGTTTGTTGGTGTATGGTCCGATTTCGAACAGAGAAGGAATCAAGACCAATTTTGTGTTTTGCTTAAGGTTGTCACGTTTTTACTTTCCTACCTATACTAGGTAAGGAAAGTATTGCAATCGGGCCAAATTTCCAACATGCGGTTTTCGACGGATCTATACCTTTCACAGCCCCCTGAGTCCGAAAAACTCATTTTTAGCCATTGGTCTGTCTGTCTGTGCCAAGATTTTCTCGGGAACTACTTAACCGATTTTGTTGCTTCTTTTTTTATTTTGTAGGGTTTCGACTACTGATGGCTGTGACAGAAATTCGTTGCTCCAATAGCAATAGCTTGCGCGCAACTTGATGAAACTTTCCTATAATGTTCTAATCACTGTTCTTTCAACTTTCGTATATAAACTAAATTTCCCAAAAAATTCAGGAAAAAAAGTTTAAGGAAAAGAAAAATGTTACTCCCTAAGTATATATTATACGGTGAAAGGTAATTAAATTCCCTACAAGGCCATATAAAAATCGTTCATTTTGGACAGTTATTAACGAAGTTACAGCGAATCAATTCCCAATGAAAGATTACGAGTTCATTTCCTGGTGTCAGAAAGGGGTGAATGAGAGAATAAAGATGACTAAGTGAAAGTAAGAAAATCTGTTGCCCGCATCACACAACCTTCACTAATTCCTCTACTTTTAACAAAAATTATTGTTTAACAATACTAAGCTATGGCAAAAAGTTTTTGATCAGCAATATTAGTGAGTATTGGATTTTTTACACTGATCTATCTTAAGCTGGTTTCATTGCCTTAATTTATCAAATAAATCGTACTCAAATCTTTTGTTTGTTTAATTTTCAGGGAAATAAATTTAGTTCAATTCTTTTTTGTTTCTTCATGAACATATGTAAAGATATAAAAACTTTTCTGAAATAGGTAGGAAAGTCCTGTGAGTGGACACACCAGATGTTTTATTTAATTAGAAAGAGTTGCTTTAAAACTGTTCAAGATAATTAAATTCCAAGTACACTATCGTAAAGTAGACAACATTTTATTGAGAATACATAGTGATTAAATCTACTATGATAAAAGGGACTTAGAGGAGGTCTAATAACACAAATATGCGTTTCTTGATAAATCATAGGTTTCTCGCGTATCAAGTTATTAAACCATTTATTTTTAACAAGAAATAATGGTAATGCAGAGGTTTTGAACCTTTACGTTGCCAAGTTATCGTTTACTGTCCTAATTAATGCTGGGAAACAATAATGGTGGAAGGATAAGGAATTCGAACTACAAGCAGTTGTTGATAGAAAGGGAGATATTATTGCAGGAGACATATTAATATCAACATTTATGTTTATAAAAATGAGTGATGCTTATGAACTTTGTTCAATATTCTTATCTAACATCAAAATAACGACTTTGTATCGTACGTTATTATTTAACATTATGATTGAAGACAATTATATGTGTTGAGCCCACCATTATGCCGAATTATTTGACGAACCGAGAATACAGATATATGATACTCGTGTATGCAGCATTACATTGGCCGTATTAGACGTTCTGAAAGTAGGTCTTAATAAATTTATTTATTGGTTTCTCGAAGAAAATTTTTTCTGCTTTACGCGATGGTGTTTTTGAGAAATTCTTTCTTATTCAATAAAAAACGTGACCAGCTTAAGAAAACACAAAATTGATTTTGTGTTTTGTCTTAACGCCGTTTCAGTTAGGAATATACAAAAGATGACCAGATTTTAACATTGTAAAGCGGAACACAAGGGGAATTATTTCTTAAAAATTTGTCCCAAATACTGTTCCGAATTTGTTTTAAAGTATAATTAATTTTATGTAATGTTAATTTGGTCAAATATATTCAGGTAACATAGTATTCAGCTAAAATAAGCTTGATAATTCAGTTAAACCAATTAATAAATAATTTGATGTATAATTTATTATTTCAATTATAGCACAGTTTTTATGACTCAATTTTTTTATACCAGCTGTTAGTAAACGATCAAGTAGCACTTTTTAAAAATTCTATAAAAATTTGTTGAAGATGGCAAAATTACGGTAATCGAAGTACAAAATGAAGTTAACTTCTTGATGCCCAAGATTTATCCTTTTTCTTATCAATATATTTTATTATAATGATATCTTATTTAGTAAATCTATATCTAATTTCTTATTATATCTTACAAAAGATCATTTTCAGATTATTTATGGAGTCTAAAAATTGTGGTCGAATTCTAACAAATGATTAAAAATAGTTCGTGGTGCAGACCCCTTTTTATGGAATTATTAACATCCGCCTGAAACTTCGTGAATAGATTCATCTCATCGTAACCCACAACTATTTTATTTACAAAAACTCTTGGAGTTGGAGCGTTTTCAATCTGGATGGTCTTCAAACTTTGTCTATTTAATTAGATAGTAAAAACTTGTAAATACCCATTTGCTTTCTATTTGGTTCGTAAGATAAATTTATCACAAAATCGATAAAACGAGTTGCCTACAAAAATATTAAGCCGTTTGTCCTATATAACCTCTTTATTTTGAAAATTTGGAAGTGTAGGTCACGCCAATGACTCAATATTTTTTAAGGCAAATTTTTTTCTCGTTTTTGTGATGAAATTATCTTACGATCCAAGTAGAAAGCAAATGGGTATTTACGAGTTTTTAGAACCTAATTAAATAGACAAAGTTTCTCCCCTCCAGATTGAGAAAACGTCCCAATTCCAAGAGTTTTCGTAAATATAATAGTTGTAGGTTACGATGAGAAGTTTCAACTATGAACTATGAAGTTTTAGGCGTATGTTAATTATTCGATAAAAAGGGATTTGTACAGCGGACTGCAATGCGAACTTTAATAATCAGTTCTCAACAATAATTCGTTATTATTAATGTTTAACATTATAAAATTAATATCCTAGCGAAATAAGCACATGTCCGCCGTACATTCATGTTCCGTTCTCCGGCTTTCCCTAGTTTGTCGTGAATTTTTGCAAAAAATCGGATCCAAAAAGCTTCTAGTCACCTTAGCCATACATCAAATGAAATTTTTTTT